TTCGATACGTTTTACCTTCGATACGTTTACAGAAGAGTAAGGGATTGTTGGAATAGGCCCATATGCTCTGTCCCAGGTGCCACAGTTACACTTAAGGATAGAATAACGAAAGATTATGGATGGACGTTCCAGTAAGTTAAAGAAAAATATATATAAAAAAAAGAAAATACCTTGATACTTTTGATACAAAATCCCGTGATTAATACTTTCCAAGTTGAGGATCAAGTGAGATTTTACTTTGAATACAACAATTGATCATTAGCTTCTTTCACGTATCCATTTAGGTATGAATATGTAAAAATCAGTTCGATTTATAGCAATATATCTTCTTCTTATTGTTAATTATGCATAAGTTATAATTAATCTCACTGTGATTATTGCTTTAAGTCTAAGATAATATCAGTGTGAAATGCACGGATTCGAAAATCGTAACTCGATTGTAGATACAGGAAGGCAGGCATTTGTCTTGATTAAATGTAATGAAGAACTCAAAGAGATTTGATGACCAGTGGGCGAGAAAGCAGATTTATAACTTGGAAATCAAATTCAATGGGCTTTGATCAGCTTCATTGTTTTTTATTAATATCGACTAATTTTGAAGATCATTTCTATTTTGATTTTTTTCTAACTTTCATCTGGGAATCTTCGTTCAATTCAACATCATTTTTTATTGAATTAATTCATTAAACAACATGCGCGATATTTTCATTTAAAAGATATAAAATAACGTGTATGATATAATGTTAGATAGATAACAATATATTGAAGTAGTTAAATTATGATTTTTGGCTTACCATTTGTTATTTAGATTTACAGGAACGACATCAGAGTGTATAAACTTAGGATCGTATAATTACTTGGGCTTCGCGGAGGCAAATGGTAAATGTGCCGATCAAAGTATCGAAACTTTGAAGAAATTCGGCTGTGCTGGTTGCAGCAGTCGCCTCGAGCTCGGTAATTGATTTTTCTTTAGTTCAATTATAAATCTTTGCCCCATGTAGTAAAGATTGTTTTCCTTTTTCCTATATTTAGGAAATATGCCGATTCACGAAGAATTGGAGCAACTGACGGCTAAATTTTTGGGCGTAGAAGACGCCATCGTTTTTGGGATGGGTTTCGCAACAAACGCTCTTAATTTGCCTTCGTTAGTAAGCAAAGGTTGTTTAGTATTGAGCGATGAGAAAAATCATGCTTCATTGATACTCGGATTGAGGCTATCTGGTGCTATTGTCAGAGTGTTTAAGCACAATAGTAAGTTTGCAACATAACAAAGTTCAATGCAAAATTCAATATACTACTTATCTTTTATTATCATAGATATGAAGCATTTAGAGAAATGCTTGAAAACTGCAGTAGTTTTTGGCCAACCAGGATCTGGGGAACCTTGGAAAAAAATACTAATTATAGTGGAAGGCGTTTACTCTATGGAAGGTTCTATTGTACATTTACCTGAGATTTTGCAGCTCAAGAAGAAGTACAAAGTGTGTACATTTATTTGCATATATGTATATATGTATATATGTGTCTGGAGTATTGAAGTGCAATTTAATATAATAGGCATATCTTTATTTGGATGAGGCTCATAGCACTGGTGCGTTAGGTGAGCATGGAAGGGGGGTTTGTGATTATTATAAAATTGATCCACGAGAGGTGGACATACTTATGGGAACTTTCACAAAGAGTTTTGGATCCGCTGGCGGTTATATTGCTGGAACAAAGGTAAAAAGAAAGAAATTTTACGAATTATTTTTATAATTCTAATTATTATAAATATAACGTTCTTTCTTGACACCGAAAATCTATTAACGATAATATTTCTATAATTCTAGACATTGATAAACTATTTAAGGATATACAGTCACGCGCATACGTACTCAACAGCTATGTCTCCACCGGTAGCACAACAAATCATAACTTCGATGAAAATAATTGCCGGTGAGGATGGTACAGATGATGGAAAGAGAAGAACGAAACAATTAGCAAGAAATACTAGGTACTTTAGGCGCAGACTCAATCAAATTGGAGTTATTATTTATGGAAACGAAGATTCGCCTGTTGTACCTATGCTAGTTTACCTCTTTTCTAAAATAGGGTATGTATTCAAAATTATAGAGTGAGATGAGTTGAAAATTAAAATTCTTCGACTTAACAGAGCAGTCGTGCGTACCTTAACGACGCATAACATAGCTGCAGTTGGCGTTGGATTTCCAGCAACTCCATTAATGGAAGGCAGAATACGGTTTTGTCTTTCTGCTGCACACACTAAACAGCAACTAGATTATGTATGTTTATACATATTTTTTTACTAGTCTATTTGGACCTGTTTCTAATTATGACTTTAATTTTTATTTTTTCCATTTAGGTATTATTATATATTGAGCGTCTTGCAGATTCTTTGGGTTTAAGATACTCTCGCAAAATTCGCGATCCAATGCCCATAGAATATTATTCCGACGGAGAGGCCGAATGACCTGCTATCTAAAAAATAGATTTTCTAGGGCGTTTACTTTGCTCCAAAGAAACGCCTCGTATTTCTATGGAGAAACACTGCCTTGAAAGAACTCTACACGCATTCTTTTGTGCGCTTTTCCATTGATGCGCACACTGTACTTTTTAATTAAATTACAAATAACAAAGAACTATATCATTTTTTAACGTCATATCGAAGAAACATATATGTATCATTATCAATTCATGAATTAATAATCCATTATTTTAGGAGAAACTGCTTTTTCCTTCTTTTCGTTGATAGTTGGAATGGCGGGCAGAAAGAAACGTGGAGTCTTTTTAAAGATTTCTCGCATATACAACGAATTATGGAAATATTAATGGAGAAGCTAAGAGTGCGTCAGAGTTCAGTTGGCCCGTTATTTTACGTGCACAAAGCTCGTAGAGGCATATGCACATATCGGTGGCTGTGATATGCCAACAGATCCTAGATACACAAGGTAGTTCTAACAAATGAAATTCATTCAAAGTAGTTTTTGCTCCCCGAGTTAGTAGAGAAGCTAGAAAGTTCGATATTTTTCTAAAGGAGGAAAAGAAGTCGAACCAAAATTTTTCTGAATACTTGAAAACTTTTTGATGCATTCTGCACCGGCACACTGCCGAAATTGCATTTATTTTATATTGTGCTCTTACATCAAAATTTAACCTCTATTGCTGTGGCAAATATTTTAGATAACGATACGAGGTGTGCAGCAGCATAAAGCTTTGCATATTTATCTACTTTCCATAGTCAATATATTGCAGTATACATATTTAAGAAAGTTAACGCATACGCACAACGAATAAATAAAGGTAAATACTTGACACATCTAATGCGAATGTTATTCATCTGTTCGCGAATGCCGGAAATGACTTTTACTTCCAATTATTACAGCAATGGGGTTTAAATTTAAGATGAAAAAATAATATTCTTTCTCTTTCAAATATTATACAAATTTGTATGTTACAAATGTACCACAATTTAAATTATAGTTAACAATTTATTTTTTTGAAAAATAATTTTTTAAAAATAGTTTTATAATTTCCTTTTCTTCTTTTTAAAGCATTTCTAGGGAAAGAAGAAAAATATATATATATATTTTTAGCAGCGATAATTTCAAATGTATTTTCTATTTTTGAAACTTTATAATTACACGATTAAATATTAAATTATATTATATTCTTTTATGTAGAATGGTTGCACAAACTTTTTTAATATCATGTTTCTATTTAAAATATCAATTAGGTTATGTCTATTTAAAATATCAATTAGATTACCTATCTTTTATAAATCTTTTATAAATCTTTTATAAATCAACAAATATATTTTATTTTAACACAATTGCAAATAACTTTTAAGAAATTTTTTCGACTTATTCGCATTGATATATCTAAGATCGCGTTGTACATTTCAATTGAAAAAATAATGCAACTTGATGATATATTTAAATTAACAGGAGAAATGAAATTAGTATTATGTACCTATATTGAAATTGAATTCAGCTGTAAGTGAAAAACTTTCATCTACAATTGATTTATGTATGTTAAGCGAAACTTTATTTTAGGCGATAATGATACGTGCGGAAAATAAAATATTTTATGGTACAAAAAAAAAGAAATATAATTCAGATTAAAAAAATAAAGCCATTTTTTTAAGACAATTGTATTTTTCTTATATTAATATTTAAGAATATTTCATTAGTTAAACACGAAATATATATAAACGTCGCTAAATAAATGTAAAAACATTAAATTTGTATACGAGAGAGGAGATTTTGAATTCTTTGCAAGATAATGCTGTTAGTGCAAATGCAATCAGCAGGCTCGTAGGGCGGTTTTATTGAGAGTACATTCTCTATCGTTAGAATATCATTTTGTACCTTTACAGGAAATCGATTTTCCTGGAGTAATTTTATCACAGCGCTTTTTCGTTCCTCTACCGCAGTTTGAAGAATATTCGTTGGCGCGTTCGTAAACAATTCTGGTAACCTATATGGTTCATTGGAACAAATTTCTATGCTCTTTATCGCATGGCCAAATATAATTTTCAAACTATCTTGCTCACAGCCTTGTAGCAATACAACACTATAAAACAGTTTACAAATTATTTACAAGAATACAGACAATCGTGAAGTTAAAATATCGCAAAAGATTTTCTAACCTCTCGGAAACCGGATCAACAGTATAAACGATACCAGAGATCATAGTACTATCTTCCGTTAAAACATTCACTTTTTTACCAATGTAACTTTTAAATAACAGAGGATCGTTTTTATAAATTTTATGAGAAAAATGCAAATTCTCTTCCATGGTTAAAAGATTTATCTCGTAGAATATAACGTATAGTCTGCGAACTTCAATTTTGTCCAGATTTCTAAACAATTGTTTGCGAATACACGTTGATAATATCTTTTATTTTCCATTTCAGCAGAAGAAAAAATATCATAATATATACATATTTGTTTTCTATTGTCAAGTTGCTATAGATAATATACGTAGTTGCAATCTATCTGTGGATAATCGTCCGTAAAGTTACGGGCATACAAAAAGTGACAGCGACGAAGCTGTCTAAAATATATAAAAAAATTTGAATTTGTATGAAACAAATTATGGAGTAATTAGACGATAACGCAAAAAAGAGATAATTTATTACTGCTTTTTATTCAATTATCTACTGACCTTTATGTGCTCATAATTTGAGTCTGAATGTACCTTTAAAGATAGACATGTACAGATTTATAGCAGCACACAGCCAAGAACGATGCACGTTATATTAACATTGAATGGTGATTTTCATGTGCAATCTCGATGAGACATAACCTAAAAAGTAGTTGATATTTAACAATTGTAAATAAACAATTATTTAGAAATTGCAAATAAATGAAACTTGAGACAATTAAAAAGTGACAATTAATTGCACTGTGAGTTAAAATAATTCAATCATGGTTATTTACGGTGTTTATATTGTATCGAAATCGGGTGGATTGATATTTAATCACGATCACAATGTTCCACGAATTGAAAATGAAAGGACGTTTAATTTTCCTCTTGATTTGAAGTTGAATTACGAAAACAAGAAGATCGTCGTCTCGTTTGGACAAAAGGATGGCATTAATGGTAAAATGGACAGTGTTTCTTTTACTTCCAATTTGCTTGAATTTTTCGACTAACGAATGCATTCGTTTATTATAGTAGGTCACGTTTTAACTGCAGTAAATGGTGGTCCTGTGATAGGCCGTGAATTGGAAAATGGGAAAGATGTATTTGAATTTCTAGAACAAGCAGAAAATTTTCCTGTATTGCTTAGATTTAGTCGTGCCAGAATGACAACTAATGAAAAGATTTTTTTAGCATCAATGTTCTACCCTCTATTTGCAATTGCTAGCCAGTTGAGCCCTGAACCCCGTTGTTCTGGCATTGAAATTTTAGAGGCAGATACATTTAGATTACATTGCTATCAAACGCTGACTGGAATTAAATTCATTGTAGTGGCAGAACCTACGCAAAGTGGAATAGAAATTCTATTGAAAAGAGTGTACGAACTGTATGCAGATTATGCCTTGAAAAATCCTTTCTATTCATTAGAAATGCCCATCAGATGCGAATTATTCGAGACTAATTTACAAAATTTATTAGAAAATGTTGAAAAGTCTGGCACTAGCAATGTGTAATCTATAACAAGATAATTATCTTACAAAGAACGTGTACAAAACCTATGTTGATTAAGCTAGAGCTTGTTAACATTTTGTATAACTAATGTTGTAAAGTATAATGTATTAAACTATAAATGATATTGAAAATAATTACTATAAATGATATATGTAAATAATTAAATTTTCGTTTATATTTAATATTTGGAACATGTACAATTTATTATTTATTAAAATACTTTTAAAAAATATATCAATAATTGTGCAAAAATTATTAAAAGTGAAATCGACGCGTGTTCTATGCAGCTTTTGCTGTATTAAGTTCTTCAGTTTTTTTAACAAAATTGAAGATATCATCAGCTAAGAGTTTAGGTTCTTCAAAAGCTGCAAAGTGTCCACCACGTGGCATTAAACTGTACTGAATTAACTTAGTATATCTGGACTTAAGCATACTCTCAGGTTGAGATATTAGTTCATTGGGAAAAACTGCACAACCTGTAGGCACCTTTATAGGCAATCTAAAACAGAATATATTTAAATTCTTCTGAATATAAAATTCATAGATTCAATGAAATAAACTTACTCTTCAATTTTTAAAGTTCTATATGATGAACAAAAGTTCTCAGCATAAAGTCTGACGCTTGTAGTAATACTGTTACTAATCCAATATATCATAACATTGTCTAACAGTTCGTCGAGTGTAAATTTTTCTGTTAAACCACCATCATCTCGTTCTTTATATGCTGTATTTGTCCATGTACTGAATTTTTCCAAAATATATGCCGCTAGTGCATCGGGTGAAGCAGTTACTGCAGTGCCTAATGAACAGTGTTATATTTTAATTTATACATGACTTGTTTTTCAATTGTGATAATGTTAAAAATACTTTATACATAATTTAAATAGTACAACGAGATTACACAAGATTACAGTAGTATCCCACAAGAATACTTTTTTTTTTAATTTTTTTTTTCAAAATTTACAATCGATATTTTTTATCTATTATACCATGTTGTTGATAATCTTCGTTATATTTTTGGGAAAGATATGGATATTAGTTCACTGATACTGTTCAAATTACATGTAAAACATTTATTACATTGCAATTGAAAGATATACTTGTAATCTTCTTTAAGTGAATTTACTTAAAATTTAAATAATATATATTAGCTTCAAACAAAAAAAATAGAAGTACCTATAGTGTCTGGCTTTGTAGCCTGTATGTGGAAGTAGCCACTTTCTTCAATTATGTTGAACAAAACTCTACTCAAAGGGAAATATCGTGAATAGTGTTCGTTTACTCCTACCAAAGATGGAAAATAGGTACCAATAAATGACCACAAGAAAGTAGATCCTGTCATACTACCACACATGTTTGAGTGTAAACCAATTACCCTAAAAAAGCCAAATGCATACATATCATTTCTTTTAAAAATTTATGTTACTATTATTATACTAACTGCTCTGGGAACAAAGCAGCCATATTAGCAGTAATAACAGCTCCCCAATCACCTCCTTGAATATAAAACTTCTCAAAGCCAAGTCTATGCATTAAATTCTTGAATATTACAGCAATCTAAGTAAAAAATTAGCAAGTCATTAATATGGTAATAAAACCTATTAAGTATGCAAATGTCATTGTATGCAACTAAAAGTAAAATTATTATTACTTGAGATGTAGCCATGCCTGGTCGTACTGCTCCTTCCGAGAATCCATATCCCGGAAGTGACGGTGCAATAATTTCGAACACGAAGTTTTGATTAGGCCAAGGTTTCGTTAGTATAGGTATAATTTTTTGGAATTCTACAACAGATCCTGGCCATCCGTGTAATAATAACAAAGGCAGAACTTTTAAGTTCTTATCCTTTGGCAAATTTGTTGGCTTGACATGATAGAAGTGTATATCCAAACCTAAAATGTTCAAATATTATTAACTTTAAAAAATCTTTTTATCAATTACAAAAATATCAGATTTTTATCAATTACAAATCGTTCCATTACCTTGGATATTTGTGATGAACTGAGGATACTTGTTTAGCAGAGTTTGTCTCTCAGACCAATTGTATTTATCTTTCCAATAATCAAGTACCGTATTGAGGTACTTAGTTGAGATACCATAAGTCCATGCCACATCTTCCAATGGTGCAACATATGTTCTTCTATGTGCCAGGCGATATTTTAAATCATCCAGAACCTTTAAATAATTTAATAATTGTTTAAAAAAAAAGAATTCAAAAAATTAGAAGTAAAAAGTAAATTTTAATTAATTTCTTTTACCTTAGCTGGTACATCAATTTTGAAAGGTCGTATTTCTGCAGATTCTTTGCCACTTTTCTTCGATCCCCAATTTGTCTCTGGTAATGTCGGAACCTTAAGTTCTTTCGAAGAGCTAAACAGATTAACAGAATTGTAAAATTAATTTATTTGTAAATAATTGTTATTTATAAAAAAAATTTCTTTATATAAATAATAAGAACTTTTTTAAATGGTTGTAAGAAAAGGTGACAATATTTTGAATCTTATGTTAAAGTATATAATCAATTCATAAATATATTTCCCAAATTTTATCCCCTAATCAATTAATATATATATATATATTTCCGAAATTTTACTCTCACGATCCTTGTAAATCAAAATCGTAATGTTTTCTTATTTTCATATTATTAAATAGATAAAATAAATAATAAAATTCATTTTGAATAAACAGATTTTTT